TGCTAGCAGCTTAGTCACCACATTTCAAGTACACATAGGACACGCTGTGCATAGCACCGAAGAACATTCAGATCCCAGTCTCTTAGTTACCATGTCATTCCTGACATAACTAGTCAGAAAGTCCAGTGGGTGGACGGTTGAGCTCTGTGTAGAGCTGTCTACATCTGCAGAGCAGGCCCAAGCCCCAGTGTGAGAGCAGAGTTCAGTACTCTTCAATCCCAGTAAGCAAGTTTTCTCTCCTAAACAACTGGGTCCAAAATGAGCAGCAAGATGGCTCAGCAGGTAAAGATACTTGCTGCCAAATCTGAGAACCTGAGTTTAATCCTTGGGAACCAAATTGTGATATGAACTAACTCCCACAAGTTGCCCTCTGACCCTTTCACAGGTGTCATGGTGTCAACACACACACCCATACACAGACAGACACACATACATACACACTACTTAAATGCTATAGCTTCGTGACCCACCTGAGTTTTGTCCCTCTTTCAGGGAAAGGCAAAACACAAAATTTTCATGAGTACTGGCTTACACTCCTGACAGACATAGCCTTTGCTAATTCTGAACTTCAATAGTCAGGAAGCCAGGCTAGTGTTGAGGATTTGGATCAGCGGCTGAGAATTGCCAACCATGCTCTTGAGTCTGGGTTTCAAGTCCAGCACCACAGGAATAACAAACAATCTGATGCTCCAGACAAAGGGCAAAACAAATTCCATGAATGCTAGGGTAAACTGGTCATGGTGGTGCATGCCTTTATTCCCAGAACTTAAAGAGGCAGAGGCAGGCAGATCACTGTGAGTTCAAGGCCACCCGGGTCTATAAAGTGAACCCAGCCAGGATAGCCTTGGTGACACAGAAAAACCCTGTCTCACAACAAAATAAAACAAAACAAAAGAGCTAGGGTAAGCTGAATGTGTTGGCACACATCTGTTATCCCAGCTCTTGGGGCATTGACATAGAAGAATCTGAAGCCCCAGCCTGGCCTTGGCTACACAGTAGCACTCTGTCTCAAACCAAAAGCAAAAAAAAAAAAAAAAAAAAAAAAACATGTTATATCAAGTATTAATTATTACTATTTGTGATAGGTTTTAAAAGTTAAATGTGTCTAAATGTAGAATTGTGGGGTTTTTTTTCCTTTTGTTTTGTTATCTGTTTTGCTGAAGGAAAAACTAAGGTGTGAAAGAAACGATGGCAAATCTGAGGTCACAATTTTATTTGATGTTACAGCCAGAAAAGTAGCACACTTGTTCACAAAGCACAAATAAAAGATTTAGCTAGTACTAACTGTTGTTTTGGTGATATGGGGTTAAGAGTTAATTTCCAAAAATGATTTCTACAATGTGGCATAAACATATTTTGATAGATCAAGATATTCTACGAAAACTGGAGAAGAAAAAGATTCTCGTCTTCACACCATCCCGAAGGGTCCAAGGCAGAAGGGTGGTCTGCTACGATGACCGGTTCATAGTCAAATTGGCTTTTGATTCTGATGGCATCATTGTGTCCAATGATAACTACCGAGACCTTCAAGTTGAAAAGCCAGAATGGAAGAAGTTTATAGAGGAGCGGTTGCTGATGTATTCTTTTGTGAATGATAAGTGAGTTTATTTCTAGTAAGCTCTAAACAGTTATGTACAAATTACTGATACTGATGAATTACATTTCAGTAAACATATATTGAACACTTACTGTATACCATAAATTGTGCTGGTTGCAATCAAGATAAGAGACTGAATAGAAAGCAGGACTCACCCTCTAGGGGCTCAAAGTATATGAGAGGAAAGGTAGAGTTAGGGGAGAGAGAAAATAATGACAGGATGTTAAAAGTTGCTTTGTCTTTTGAAATTAATTTTACAGAATAAAGAGGGCTACTGAGTATGACATGTAAAAGGGACAGTACGAAGAAATCTATGAAGGTATGGAATTGGCTGGTGTACTGGGGAAACTAACATTCTTGTCCGTCTGACTGGGGCATATAGTCCATGAAAGAATGATGCACAGGGAAATAATCCTTTCTGTGTGATCAAATAGAAACAAAAGGAAGAAATGATGTCTTCATAGAAGACAGATGAAAGCTAGAAAACACAATTAGAATGTTATGCCTACGGTACCAGTATATATAAAGAAGTAAAGAAGCAGAAAAGCAACAAACCAAGTAATCCACTTAAAAAATGGGGAACAGAGCTAAACAGAGAATTCTCGAAAGAGGAACATCGAATGTCAGAGAAACACTTAAAGAAATGCTCAACCTCATTAGCCATTAGGGAAATGCAAATCAAAACGACCCTGAGATTTCACCTTACACCCATCAGAATAGCCAAGATGAAAAACTCAAGTGATAGCACATGCTGGAGATGTTGTGGAGAAAAGGGAGCCCTCCTCCATTGTTGGTGGGAATGTAAACTGGTTCAACCACTCTGGAAGTCAATCTGGCGCTTTCTCAGACAACTAGGAGTAGTGCTACCTCAAGACCCAGCTATACCACTCCTAGGTATATACCCAAAATTTGCTCAAGTACACAACAAGGACATTTGTTCAACCATGTTCGTAGCAGCTTTATTTGTAATAGCCA